GATTTCTGGTGTACAGCACAATACTTCAGTCATATAGGAACACACATATATTCATTTTCATATTCTAGTTCACTGTAAGTTACTACAAGATATTGAATATAGTTCCCTGTGCTATACAGTAGAAACTTGTTGTTTATCTATTTTATACATATTAGTTAGTGTCTGCAAATCTTGTACTCTCAGTTTATTCCTTCCCACCCTGGTAATTGTAAGTTTGTTTTCTTTGTCTGTGAGTCTGTTTCTGCTTTGTAAATAAGTTCATTTGTCTTTTTTTTAAGATTCCACATATAAGTGATAGCATATGATATTTTTCTTTCTCTTTCTGGCTTACTTCACTTAGAATGACATTCCCCAGGTCCATCCATGTTGCTGCAAATGACATTATTTTATTATTTTTTTTATAACTGAGTAGTATTCATTGTATAAATATACCACAACTTCTTTATCCAGTCATCTGTCAGTAGACATTTAGGTTGTTACTATGTCTTGGCTATTGTAAATAGTGCTGCTGTGAACATTAGGGTGTATGTGACTTTTTGAATTAAGGTTCCCTTTGGATATATGTCCAGGAATGGGATTGCTGGAGCATATGGTAAGCCTATTTTTAATTTTTTGAGGAATCTCCATACTGTTTTCCATAGTGGCTGCACCAAACTACATTCTCACCAACGGTGTAGGAAATTTCCCTTTTCTCCACACCCTCTCCGGCATTTATCATTTGTGGACTACCTCATTGTAGTTTTGATTTGCATTTCTCTGATAACTAGTGATATTGAGCATTTTTTCCTGTGCTTACTGGCTATTTGTATGTCTTCATTGGAGAATTGCTTGTTCAGGTCTTCTGCTCATTTTTGGATTGGATTGTTTGTTTTTAGGTTATTAAGTTGTATGAGCCTTTGTCAGTCTCATCTTTTGCAAGTATTTTCTCCCATTCCGTAAGTTGTCTTTTTGTTTTGTTTACCATTTCCTTTGCTGTGCAAAAGCTTATAAGTTTAATTAGGTCCCATTTGTTTATTTTTGCTTTTATTTCTGTTGCTTGGGTAGATTGCCCTTGGAGAACATTGCTGGGATTTATGTCAGATAATGTTTTGCTTATGTTTTCTTCTCAAAGGTTTATAGTGTCTTGTCTTATGTTTAAGTCTTTAAGCCATTTGAATTTATTTCTATTTATGGTGTGAAGGAGTATCAACTTGACTGACTTCATACAGCTGTCCAGTCTTCCTAACACCATTTGCTGAACAGACTGTGTTTACTCCACTGTATGTTCTTCCTTCCTTTGTCAAAGATTAATTGACCTAAAGTTTGTGGGTTTATTTCTGGGCTTTCTATTCTGTTCCATTGATCTGTATGTCTGTTTTTATACCAATACCATGCTGTTTTGATTATTGAAGCTCTGTAGTATTGTCTGAAGTCTGGGAGGGTTATTCCTCCAGCTTCATTTTTTTCCTTTAGTAATGTTTTAGTAATTCTGGGTCTTTTGTGATTCTATGTAAATTTTAGGAGTATTTGTTCTAGCTCTGTGAAAAAATTCCTGGGTAATTTGATAGGGATCACATTAAATCTGTAGATTGCTTTGGGTTGTATGATCATTTTAACAATATTTATTGTCCAATCCAAGAACATGGAATATCTTTCCATTTCTTTAAGTCTTTAATTTCCTTAGTCAGTGTTTTGTAGTTCTCCACATGTAAGTCACCTCCTTGGTCAGATTTATTAAGTATTTTATTTTTTGGGGTGGAATTATAAAAGGGATTATTTCTTTCCTTTTCTGATATTTCATTGTTAGTGTAAAGACATGCCACTGATTTCTGTATGGATTAATATTGTATCCTGCTACCTTGCTGAATTCTTTTATTAGCTCTAGTAGTTTTTGTATGGAGCCTAAAATTTTATGTCTCTTATGGACATTTGCTTTATTTCTCTTGGGTTGATACCTAAGAGTGGAATAGAATGGCTGGAATATATGATATGTGTGTATTTCACTTTTTCTGTAATTGTTAACTGTTTTTCAAAGTCGTTGTACTATTTTACATTTCCACCAGCAGTGTTTGGAAGTCCTAGCTCCTCCACCTTGATGCCAGTACTTGATATGGTCAGCCTCTCAATTCTAGCCATTCTAATAGATGTGTAGTGGTAGGTTTAATTTGCATTTCCCTAGTGACTAATGATGTTCAATATCTTTTATTGTCCTTATTTGCCATCCACATAACTCTCTTGGTGTTTGTTCATTCAAATCATTTAAAATATTTGTTTCTTACTGAGTTTTGAAATTTCTTTGTATATTATGTATACATGTCCTTTATCAGATATGTATATTAGAGTTATTTTCTCAGTCTCTTAAAAGTGTCTTTTTGAAGAAGTATCTAATTTTGATGAAGTACAATTTATCAATTTGTTCTTTTTATGGATCATACGTTTTTCTTTCTTTTTTTGTTTGAGCAGAGAAAGGTTTTTTTTACAGGCCAAGCAAGAAGAAGGAGAATGGGTGGCTCGTGCTCAAAAGACCCAAACTCCCTGATGGTTTTCCAGGAGTTTTTATAGGCAAGATTTGGGGTGAGGCCTGCAGGGTGTGTAACTTTCTTCTGATTAGTTGATGGTGAGGTAACAGGGTGGCGCTCCAAGAATCTTGCGTTTTGTCTGAAATTACCATATGGATCATGCTTTTGGTGTTGTATCTAAGAAATCTTTGCATAACCCAGGGTCACAAAGGTGTTCTCCTGTGTGATACGGTTTTATGACTTGCATTTAGGTCTGTAATTCATTTTGAGTCAGTTTTTATAAGTTGCATGAGGTATGAATCAAAGTTACTATTATTATTGTTTTTGCACACAGAATTATTCAATTGTTCCAACAAAATTTGTTGAGAAAAAACTATCCTTTCTCCACTGAATTGTCTTTACGTGTGTCTTTGTCTAAAATTAGTTGTCTGTTGGTGAGTCTGTTTCTAAACTCTCTAAACCACGTCTGCCACATTGGTTTATTTTTCTGTTTTTTTGACCAATAATACACTATTTTGATTACTATAACTGTAATAATTCTTGAAATAAGATATTGTTAACTTTGCAACTTCATCCTTTTTTAAAAGATGTTTTGACTATTCTAGGTCTTTCCTTTACATTTGCATGTGACTGTTAGAGAGGGTCTGACAGTTTCTACCAAAAATAGTCTGCTGAAATTTTGATTGAGATTAAATAGATCTATAGATCACTTTATGTAGAACTGTCTTCTTAACAATGTTGTTTTTTGACCCATGGAAATGGTATATCTGTCCATTTATTTTGATCTTAAATTTTTATCAACAAAGGTTGTTAGTTTTCAGTCTTTAACACATTTTATCATTTTCTATTTCAACAGACACATTTTATTTAAATACATGTACTTTAAAACCTACTTTCACTTTTTTGGATAAAAACCAATATCCGTTGCCGTAATTGGAAGGTAACTTAGAAAATCAAATAAAAACAGAAAAAAAATAATGTTAAGTGCCAGGTAAACACTGTTACTTGCTGAGGCTCTTTTAATTTTTTTTTATTAAAAAGCATAATTAACAAGGCTTAAAACAAATTATAATGTCATACCTAACACCAAGCTGAGCATTTGCCTTTATGTAACTAGGTCTTTAAAAATAATAGAAAAAGGGAATTGTTTTCTCACTAGGTAATTCACTGTGCTTTAATGATTCATATAGTACTGAAAACTTATTTCTCATACATTAGATGTGAGTTCCACAGTTAGGGAATAATTAGATTTTAGGCAGGAGTGATTTGAGCAAAGAAATGTGAAAACGTTTGGGTATTATAGAATCCATAGAGGTTAGGAATTCCTAGAGTGGCAGTTCCAAGTCTTGGTTGTATGTAATCTTCAGTTTGAGAGTTTAAAAGACTCAGAACCAAAAGAATCAGAATACTTGGATTGGGGTATTTTTATCTTAAAATTTCCCTAGGTAGTTCCAATTCTTAGGAATGGTGGGAAACCTCTATGATAGAATGTCAAGTCAGTATGAGAGGACAGTGATGATGTGAAGTGGACAGGTAGGAGAAAGCCCAGATTGATTAGCAGTGTCTGCACTGGATGTCAATAGGTGGAATGGTAAAATGTCATTATTACTTGACATCTTAGGGCTAGAATATGTATTGCCTGTCAAGGTAGTTGAATATCATCTTGAAGAAATGATAGAGCCCTGACTCTCCTTTCTATTAAGAATGAACGCTCATGAATTTTCTATCTCAAATGGTCTTTTGTTTAGAAAGCAATATGATCTTTTCTTTCAACTAAAGGCATTAAATGCACATTTCAAGATATGATAGCATGTTTAAATAATGGTCTCCAGGACCTTCCTCAATACTTTACAATAGAAATGTATTTTTGAAACAGCTTTAACACAATTGCTACCTATAAATAGTTCCAGGTAGGAAATTCATAAAGACTTCTTTGGGCAGTAACATTTCAAAATATATTGATATATAGAATCCAGATTTGGATCTGTAAATAACAGAATGCACGAGAAGGTTCTGAATGTGGATCAGTTCCCTAATTACTTACCCACTGTTTTGACGCAGACAAAAAGACCCGTTTATAATAAGGCACTTTTCAGGTGGGTAACATTTGCAGCTTGTCAAGCTGTGCTTTCTCATTAACGTTGGCTGTGTTACGGTCCCGAGGACTTCATCTGGGAAAAGGAAACAAAAGGAGAACTCCACGTCCAAGTCTTCAAACTCTCATAGGAGGAACGAGGAACTGGGGATAGGAGAACTTAAAATCTTGCTTCATTTAAGAAGAACAGTAAGAAGCACGGGGTGGGAGTGAAGATTATCTTACAAAAATGTACGTTTAAGGAATTCATCGGGAAGCAAGTGGGAGAAAGTGGCTTTTTGTGTGTGGAGGGACATTTGCAGGCCATTAGGACAGTTTCTTGTATCTCCCACCGCTCCTCCTCTCAGACTGTCTAGTCTCCACTCTCCGCCCCTGGCTTTCCCTCCCCAAGGGAGAGCCCTTGGCCAGTAAACCAGGTGGGCGGGGTAGCCTGTGCAGTCTTGCCCTCTCCTGGTCTCAAGGCGCGAGGAGCACAGGGACTTAAACTTAGCGCCCCGGGACTCTAACGAGGCTCTCTGGGCATCTGTAACCCTTTGAGTCTGCAGGTACAGGGAGCAGTTGTCCCTAATTCATCGCGGGAATAGTGTCAAACTTTGTCGGTGTGTGGGTGGGAGGCAGCGGGACCACTGCCGGTCCTCCCGCATCCCGGCAGGGTTAGCTGTGGACAGCGCGCTCTTCTGTTGCGACCCGTCGCCAGACACTCTGGGAATGGAGCAGTCACAGTGTGGCAGCAGAGACCAAAGTGTTAGCGGCCGACCCCACCTGGCCCCGGGGTTGGTGGCAGGGGCCCCTCCACCCCTGTCTTCGGCGTTACCGGTACCCCCGGGCATACCGGTTCCTTCAACTTTCCTGCGACCGCCCAGCCTCTTTCTGCGGACAGCCGCCACCGCGGGAAGTGGTGGCTGCCCGCCGGCTGCCAGTCTGGAGAGGGGACTTGGCGCCGTGGGCTGTGGCTACCCACGGACACCCAAGTGCGCTCGTTGTCGGAACCATGGAGTCGTGTCGGCCCTCAAGGGCCACAAGCGCTTCTGCCGCTGGCGGGACTGCGCGTGTGCCAAGTGCACACTGATCGCTGAGCGCCAGCGCGTCATGGCCGCCCAGGTGGCGCTGCGCAGGCAGCAGGCCCAGGAGGAGAGCGAGGCCCGGGGGCTGCAGAGGCTCCTGTACTCCGGACCGTCGGGCCCCGGGGGTCGGACACCCGGAGGAAGCAGCAGAACAGAGAATCCCCAGACCGCGACCGGCCCTGCGGCGGTGACTGCTCTGGGACTGCATGCCTTGAGACATGCTAGTGGTCTGGCGACCCCTGCTTTCGAAAGTTTCCAGCCAGATTATACGGAGGAAAAACAAGGTGAGCTGATCTAACATTTGCTTTTTGCAAAAGAAAAATGGTTGTTTTGGAGGGGAAAATCTTTGAAATAAGCAGCTGTGCCCAGGAAGCAGGCAAGAAAAGTTCTCTAAAAGAAGCACTAATTTAAGTTCTGAGAAACTGCCCCGCAGTATGGACTTTAATGAGGGTGTTAAGAGACCCATCACCTCCACTGTGGAAGGGCTTTCTGTTCTCTTAGGTGGTAGGGTAAGGTAATGAAAAGGTGAAGTGTGAGTGATCTTTTGAGCAACTCGTATTAGGAATAGAGTTTGTCCCCAAGTTACTATGACCTTAGCTGTGAGAGTAGAACTTACAGGTGGCATTGAGTGAAAAAAGCTGCCTTTTGATTTTACTCTGTACTCTTTTCAGCTGTAAAACCAAAGTTAATCTGATCTTGCTGGAAAACGTACTTATGGTTGGGAGTAGAGTTCTTTTTACCTTTGGGACAAACCAACTAAGTGGGCAAGAGATTGAAATCTACCAAAACCTCTTTTTACTCCTTTCCCTTAAAATTTTTAAGCATTCATCCCTTTTCCCCAACTGCTTATCAGCCTCCACAAGTGTAGAAAACTCTAGCATTTGAAGTTTCAACTCTTCCCATAGGAAAGAAATTTAGATTTTCTAAATTTAGATTTGGTAAGAATTTCAAAGTCCAAGAATTTCTTATCTTTGGGGATTTTATCCTTAGGGATTTCTCATCCAGGAAGTTTTCATTTTTTTTCCCCTGTGATTTATTGACTGCAAATCACCTTCACCCCCTGTGTTAGGTAAACAACTATATATATATATATATACACTCTCTCTCTCTCTCTCTCTCTATATATATATATATATACACACACTTTGACTAGGATTATCCCAAATTAACTTTTCATGCTAATGTAAATCTCATTGTATTTTAATAAATTTTTTAGTCCTCCGTAGGTCACACTAGCACTATAGAAGTAAAAATTAAAATTTCATAAACTAATCTGACTGACAACTCTCTGCTAGGTATTGATTTATTTATATGATTTCTTTGGGGGGGTACTTTTTTATAGGGTCAGTTACTTTATTTTATTCTTTGCCCCAGTTGACCTCTTTTTTTGGGAAAGCTACTACCATGGCTTTTCTAAACTGACTGCTTCCTTTTATACAATATCCAATAACTGTAGTAGTCTATTTAATTTACTCATTCATTAGACAAAGACTAACAATGATTCAGAGGTGAATAAGATTTTCCAATACAAAAGAACATTATATTCAAAAGAAGGGAAACTTTATATATTCAACAACTACACGATAGACAAAGTAAAACCAGCTATAGGAGTTGAGAGAACAGAGATGATATAATATCCCAATATTTTAAAGACAGCTTATTTTCTAGATAGTCTAATGCAGTTGGTATTTCATTATATTGTGTTCCACAAGTACAGTGTAATAACGAAATTTATTTTATGCATAAATTACTGTAGAGATGAAATTTTGATACATGTTTAGGGGATCATATTTAGTGAATCGTATTTATAAATAAAATAGAATGGCAGACCAAGACCAATCTATCCCCACTACATTAGATGAGTTATATTGCTTGATTTAAAGGTGAAAATACTAGAGAGTCTTTGTGATTTTGCAAGAGCAACATCTTTTCTTTTGTCCTACGTTTGATATAATGACAGTCTTTTAACTCTCAAAGTGTTAAATTGCACACACTTTATTTTAAAATAAACTATAGATATTTCTTTGGAATTTAGGACCACTCCTTGAGAAATCATAGGAGTATTGCAAATTGTGTTTGCCAATCACTGCTTTAGGCAATATTTGTTTTGTTACATTCATAAATTTGATACAAAAAGAAAGTTTGACAGTAATATTCTGAGTAACTCACTTGAGAAGTTACTCTTTCTAATGGAAATGGAGATAAAACATATCTATAGGGTAAGAAGAAATGTAAACTAAAATAAAAGTCATTTAGTGAATATTACACATTGTTATTTCCCTGGCATTAGCCTTGCAAAATGGTTTTAATAGATATTCTTGTTTCATGAATATTCATATGTTCCACATATTGAGGTAGAAAATCAGATTTTTATGTAAAAATACTTTTGGGAAATTGCCCTTAGTACTGGAAGGGAATTGTGATTTGAAGCAAAAGGCTAATAAGTTGTTTTTATAAGACACTTTGAGGATATATACAGATTGCAATAGTAAAAATAGTGCGGTTAATAATTTTCTTTAAAAAAAAAGTTTGATTGTAAATGCTTTTATTGATATTTCCTGGAGATTGAAAAAGAAGGTCCCTGTTTCACAGAGGATAATGAAAAATACACCAACTCTATATTGTCTCTCATAAAATACAATATGCAAGCTCTGGTATGATTCAAGATTTGTACAGCAGTTGTCATTATTGGTGTAGATTTGAAATTATATTAATAATTTTGTTATTTTTTTACATTATTTGAGTAATTTAATTGCAACCTGAAATGTGAGCATTAAAAAAACTAATTGTTGAAGTTTAGCATTAGTGACTAAATAGAATATTCATTTTCATACTAAGATAGTTCCTTCTTCCAATTTCTTATCTAAACAGTTGTTTGATTTAGTTCTTTTAGTCATTGTCAAAAAAAACCCTTACATGGGTAACAACAAAACTTGGGGAACATTTAGGAAAATCTTGAATTGCCAAATGGGGCAAATAGTGTGAAATATTGGTGCTAACAGTTTAGGGGAACAATAGACTTTCATCTTCTGATTCCTAAATAACTACAGCACTTGTATATTATATAATTTTGTGATCCTGAAATGAAAGAATAAATGGCATTTTCCCACTATTTCAACACTGGCATTTCTAAATGATCTTTTTAAATACTTACTCATTGAAATCTCTTAAATTGAATAGTAACATTACTAATATATTATGAGTAGATGAGTTATTTTATCAAGCACTAATTTTGAGTGGGTAATACTGGGTTCTTAGAAGTTTTCTCTTTATTTGATTCCTTTTTTTTTTTAATTTCCACAGTACAAAAGGAGAGTAAATGTGACTCATGCCAGAGTGGACAAGAAGAACCAGTCTCCAAATCCTATCACCTTACCCTGGAATCATCTCCTAAGTCTAATGATGTCATTGGAAAACAAAATGTCAGGTCATCTCTTTCAGAAAACTCAAACAAGGACGATCAGCCTCCTCATCCTGGGGAGCATTCAGGAGGTGAAGAGAGTCCCAGGTCTCTGTCATCCTCTGATCTGGAATCAGGAAATGAAAGTGAGTGGGCCAGAGACTTCACCGCTACCAGAGCCAGCCTTCCCACTGTGTCCTCGAGACCAAGAGACCCTCTTGATATCCTTACCAAGATTTTCCCAAGTTACAGACGCAGCTGGCTAGAAGTCATTTTACAGTTCTGCAAAGGGGATGTGGTCCAAGCCATTGAAGAGGTCTTAAATGGGAAAGAACACAAACCAGACACCAGGGAGCTAGCAAGCTCAGGAGAATTAGAAAATACAGCTTTTCAGAGAGCTTCAAACTTTGGTGTAGCTGGAATTGGTTTTGGAACTCTAGGAAATAGATCGGCTTTCTCTCCCATTAACACTACTAGTGCTTCTTATGGAGGTGATTCAAGTCTCTACACCTTAAATCCTAGACTAGGTATCAGTCCATTACGGCTGGCATATTCGACCCCAGGAAGGGGGCTATCTGGTTTCATGTCTCCCTACCTAACTCCTGGGTTGGTACCAGCATTGCCTTTTCGGCCAGCTTTGGATTATGCCTTTTCAGAGATGATTAGGGATTCTTCTTACCTTCCCAGCAAAGATTCAGTAACTGGTGGCAGACTGTATTCCAGACCAAATCAGGATAGTCTGTAATACATCTGCCTATCTCCCTTTCTGGAGTATTTTTAGAAGCATACAGTACCAGCCCTCACACCCACATCTATTGTATTCACTGTGTATGTGCATGGTTACCAGGCCTTAAAAATGCTACTTTTTTTTTACAAGCAATAATTATAGATATGAGATCTAAAGACTCTTCTTTAGCATTTATTAAGTGAAAGAAACATTTAAATGTTATATGTGCCTTGAATAAAGCCAGTTCAGGAAATATTTTTACTTTAAACTAATGAATTTTCTTCCCAATATATCAGTTGTAAAATTCATATTTTAAAACTATACTTTTAAAAATTTCATTAAAAATGGGTTTATAACTATAAAATACAGTTTTTGAGTGTAAAGTAATCCAGTGTTCTATGAAATGAACCAAAAGAAAGAATTGAAGAATTGAGGTATTCTAAATAATTATATTAAACTTTTTCTTTTCTTCTGTTTCTTGTACACAGGAGAGAAAAATACTTACTCAAAGTATTTTAAAATATTTTATTTGCATATAAGTGATAAGTAGTAAAACTTTTGAGATATTAATTCCTTATTTTTTCTGAATGTCTATTTTTCATTCATATCTGCCATTTATGATAACAGGTACCATTAATAAAGCATGTTTCTTTAAAGTAAACATTGCAAATTACACAAAGGCCTATGAAGTAAATCTTAGGAAATGAAAATGCACCATCTCCTGGCCACTATCACTAATTGCAACTAAGTTCTGGTAGAGTATAGGAATTAGAAATGAATGATTTCCTAATAATATAAGCTAACCATTTTTAAAAATAGTTATTTTGGATCATGCTAAATTGAATTTTCATATTATAAAGTGAACATCTATTGTGGATGAGTGTTTTAATCTTTAAGTATGCTTATACCTGCATCTGGGGAAGCATTCCTTTACATGTTTGTGGCAAGAATATGGCAGCTAATTTCAAAGATAAAAATAATTTTTTTCAGGAAAGTTAAATATCTGCTCATATAAATATCAGTTGGCACTAGATAGTTGATGCTTAATGCATTAAGGAGAGAGATAAGATTTGCAAATGGGAAAGTTGTCATTAGATTATAGAGGTTTTCTTGAGATTTAAAAAATATTTTTGCTCTCCATCTAGAGAATTTGAAAGCTGTTTCAGTCAGTGGAAAGTCTCTGGGAAAACTGCTTACAAAACAATTTTATGAAGTTTTCTTTATATATCATTTAGTTTTTACAGGAAAGTAGCTTTAATGCTATTGTTAGGAAGATATGGTGTGAAATAGTTGATGAATTAGAGATGGTGTAAACAATTTGAGCAGCATGATTTACCAAAGATTTCTTAAATTATATGTATGTGTGTTTATGTATGCATATCTACCTATCTATTTATTATACACTCAAGCCCTATTGGTTCTGTTATCATGAAATCTTTTCCATGAAGCCAAGTAAGAATGTATTTCTAAAGTATATTTTTACCAGCAAATACCATTTTAGATAACTGCATAGTATGTGATGCTGGTTTAAGATGTAAATATATTTAATAGAGTATACATTATTTTTAATGGTTTGAATGTGAGAAAGCAGAGTAAAGATTTCATGTAATCATATTCATTATAAAAAAAAGTTTTTGATTCTAAGTCTAAACCATGGTACAATGCCTGGCAAGTAGTTGATATTCAATTAATGTATACTGAATGAAGGAACCATTATGGATAATAGATCTCCTTGAGACTCTGATAAAACCAAGGATCTGTATAAAATGGCCTACAGACACACAGTTTTGCATACAATTTCATGGAGTTCTTGAATCTCCTGAATGCCATTTGCCATTCAGGTTAGAATCCTTGTTGGTTCTTAAGGTGTTTCCATTGCATTAATTCACTTATTGAATGCTTTTTTTTTAAAAGTGCTAGATCCTATAGAGGATACTAAATGTAAAATGTTGTGCTATCAAGGAGGTAACATACAGTAGATATCTGCGTTAAAAATACAACTGCTAGGCTTGCTAGATTCTTTATGTGGTTTATATAATAATGTGCTTGTATCCATCTGAGAGACTGAATTGCTTTTTGAACTGAGGTGAACGTCCATTTGGGGCAGTACTCAAATTAAAAAAAAGATTTCATAACTTTAAACCTTAAGTTAATTTGTATAATGCTTTATACATTTCATACCCTATAGTAAGTTTAGAACTTAAATAATCTTATAGAAGAAGTCATTTATTCCAACCACTAAATTGAATGTGAGGAAATTGTGGCTCGGCAGTAGTGTTTATTGTTCATTCCTAAGGTTAAAATAATAGTGTCAATCATTGGGAGTGAAATGTTTGTCCACTCACAGCTTAGTATAGTATCTGGTACATAAAAAGTTGCTCAAGTAATAGTTTTACACTGATTGTATTAAATGAACGATAACAAAATACTAGCTTAGAAATTCATTTATTCAACAATTACTTATTAAGCACCTGCTTTGTGCCAGGCACTGTGCTAGACACAGGGGAGAAAGAAGTGAACAAAAACTGCCCTCAGGCTACTCAGTCTGTTACTATATGTACAAAAATAATCAACCTAGCAATGATGGTACTATTTGACAATTTTGGTACATCAGTGAGTTCTGTGTAATCCTGAGGTTTATGCTGATGGATGCTGCTTCAGACCTGAAGGGGTAAGAAGGAAGAGGGAGAACGTCTGTTTCTATGTAGTATGTTTAGGGAAGTTCATTCCATTTGTCTGAAAGGTAAACAACTTACAGGTCTTTGGTGAAAGAAGTGGGCAAAGAGGAAGCTTTTGCTCACTTGAATGGAGTCTTGTGTGGAAGTCACCCTAGCTTCCTGGTGGTCTCTGAATCAGAGTCATTGTCCAGTCCCCAATCCTAGGGTTGGTCTTTTAGAATTCCTCTGATTCAGTGCATAGGTCTCCTGGTTTAAGCTCTCATCTAGCTTTTCTGTGAAACTAGGTTGGAGTTGAGAGGACAGTTGAAGAACATGTGAGTCAAATAATCTACTATTTTTCTTTGCAACTTCTGCTGAAACAAAAAGATTCTGGGAATTTTAAGACCTCCTCTTCTAGAGATTCCTAACTGTGAACTTGGGACTAAGAATATTATGAAGTTACTTATCCAGTCAGCTCTTTATTTTTTTAATGCATTTTTCTTAGAACTGGTTTCTGTTTGAAATAAAAAAGACTTCAGAATACAAGAGAAGCTTGGAATAAAGCACCTTGTTACGCTTGGGAGAATGATTCTGTTGACAGTGGTATATAAAATGAGATAAAGTGTATCATCAGCTTTATAAAGGCAAAGCTTTCCTCAGGGAAGCCTGATTCTTAATTATAGATGCTCATTCTTTAGGTCAAGGGTAGTGGGAAAAGTTCTTGTTCAGATCCGTTTCTTCCACCCACCCCCTCTTCTCCAAATAATCCTGTTATTGATGCCTGCATTGCAAAGCTAGACCCTTATTCATTTGGCATCACCCCCTTGAAAATTAAAGCTGTTTTGATATAACACTTAAGAGTAGCTCTGCCAGACATACCTGTTTTTTGTTTGTTTGTTTGTTTTTGCTTACTAAATGTTATTTAAATGAGAGGAATTCGTTACAGTTTCCCATTTCTGAACTCTATGCTAGTGATGGGGGGGTTCAGGGGAAGACAAGACAACAAGGATGAGAAATATGAAGATATCTTATCTGGTGGGGTGTTCCCAATCTTTATTCCTGAAGAGTCTATGTTATTACAGCCCTGGCTCTTTCACGTTGTAATGTAGCTTTACATTAACTTTTACCACAAATAATAGGAAGACTAAGAGACACTTTGGAGGACCTCCTGCATACTGGAAATATTTTTCTCATTCTTTCTGGTTGCTTCAGTGGCATGAGGTGCTCAAAATAGCCAGTGGTAGTCTCAGGTTCCTGTGTGATGCTGTGTTCTCTGGTAGAATCATTTTTCTTTTGGGAAGTAAGATTTCTAAATTAAAAAAAAGTTACAGTGAAAAGAAACCAAAATGGTGCTATTTCATCATTATCATTAATCTGAGAGGAACTGTCTCCTTGTCTTTCCTGTAATTTCTAAACTCTTGAATTCTGGGTATAGGAAAAACATCACTACATTTCTGTAGCTTATTCAAAGTGTATCTTACATCCGGGATGATATCATTTCAGCCCCATAAAGTACTTTCACCAGCTGGTGCCATAAGTGAAGTCTTCCAAAGGCCATTCCATAATTTTATTAGGCCAGCTGTTTCAGGATGAGGGGAACATAATGAAACCAGTGAAGTCCGTGAACATGAGACCAATGTTGTACTTCATTTACTGTAAAATGAATTTCTTTGTTAGAAGCAATGTTGTAAGGAATACTGTGAAGGTGAATGTGGCATTCTGTAAGCCTACAGATGGTGGTTTTAGCAGAAATGTTGAGGGCAGGAAAGGCATAATCACATCCAGCATAAATGTCTTTTCCAGTGAGAACAAAGAGTTGGTCCTTCAATAATGGAAGTGATCCAGTATAATCAACCTGCTACCAGGTGGCTGGCTGGTTCCCCCAGGGAAAGGTGCCATTTTAGAGGTTCAGTATTGATCTTTGCTCTTGGCAGGTTGGGTACTCAACAATGGCTCTGGCCAAATTGGCCTTGATGAGTGGAAATCTGTTGCTGAGCCCATACATAAGCTCCCTCTTTGCTTCTATGATCATTGTTTTTATGGGCCAATTGAGCAATTACAGGAATGAAAGAATGGGAAAAGAATAAGTTACTTTGTGCATATGTTTATTAAGATCTTTGTTCTCTAAGGTTGCTATTTTGTGAACATTTGTATAGGACAAAAATATTCTCATATTTCTACCCGTTTGGAGAGATCTTTCCATGTATGTCTTCTCTAGATCATATTTCTTCATGTTTCTTCCAAGTTGCTGGCCATGCAGCCAAACTGTTAGCCACTGCTCATGACTCACTTTAGATGTGTACCTCTATCCATCTCTCCTTCCAGGCAGAATGAACAGTCAGGTGCACAGCTTGATGTTCTTCCCATTGGAAAGATTTTTTTTCCAACACTATTGTTCATGTCCACACCTGTGGTGCTACAGCTGTCTACTTAGGCTAGTGCCAGAATAGTGTGTGGAATTATCTGTGAACAAAGATTGAATTGTTTTTCCTCATTCTGCTGTCATAGACAGGTTCACATGAGAGAGAAAGAGGAGGCAGGAGTAGGGGCCATGGAAGTTTGAGCCACTTATCATGCAACTTACTGGTAACTTCAAAACTTGCAGAGAAAAACCTATCCATCACTTCCACTTGATTGAATACTGTTGCAGTGGGCTTGGCGGGCAGACAACACCCTATTCATAAGAGTATTTCAGGACACATCATTATTTAATGACCAGTGATAAGTGTTAGCACTCTAGTAGGATCCAGTAATGAGGCTGAGGCTGTTTCTCAGTTGAGAATAATTATCTGCAGAGGAAGTATAACTTTTCTCCAAAATCCAAAAGGGGTATACTATGATTTATTTGTATAGTTTTGCCAAATTTTTCCCTTAGGATCCCCAACTTCCATAGACACTTAAAGCACTATGGAATATGTGCTGAGTCATGGGACCCAAGTGGCAGGACAGGTTGAATGGAAGCCTGGTTCTATTTGCAGAACCTCCTTTTGACCTGGACCCCAAACTGACAGCTTATTGGGTATTTTGACAAAAGGGTTGAAGTAAGGTGCCCAAATCATGTATCTGTTGCAACTAAAATTTTAAAGTCCACCTCTTAAAGATAGCAGGTGCCAGATGCAGAAATATGTCCACCATTTGATAAGAGAAATTTCAACATACACCAGAATACTTATGCCTAGAAATTTTACAGATATGACATATCACTGAATTTCTATGGTGTTTATTCTCCTCTCTGGCATGCATATGTCTTTTTTCCCCATTAAAAAAATTGAAATACAGTCAGTTTACAATGTGTCAATTTCCAGTGTATAGCATAATATTTCAGTCATACATGTACATACATATATTCACGTTATTTCTCTTTCATAGTTGGTTAATACAAGGTATTGAATATAGTTCCCTCTGCTATACAGTATAAATTTGTTGTTTATATATTTTGTATGTAGTAGTTAATATGTAAAAATCTCGAGCTCCAAATTTATATCTTCTAATCTCCTTTACCCCCTGGTAACCATGTTTGTTCTCTATGTCTGTGAATCTGTTTCTGTTTTATAAATAAGTTCATTTGTGTCTTTTTTTCAGATTCCACATATAAATGATATCATATGGTATTTTTCTTTCTCTTTCTCATTGGCTTCACTTAGAATGATGATCTCCAGATCCATCCATGTTGCTGCAAATGGCATTATCTTATTCTTTTTTATGGCTGAGTAGTATTCTATTGTGTGTATACACACATACCTACAGACAACAACTTCTTTATCCAGTCATCTGTTGATGGACATTTAGGTTGTTTCCATGTCTTGGCTATTGTAAATAGTGCTACAATGAACACTGGAGTGCATGTATCTTTTCGAATTAGAGTTTCCTCTGGATATATGCCCAGGAATGGGATTGCTGGATCATATGGTAAGTCTATTTTTAGTCTTTTGAGGAATCTTCGTACTGTTTTCCATAATGGCTGCACCAAACTACATTCCCACCAACAGTGTAGGAGGGTTCCCTTTAATCCATACCTTCTCCAGCATTTTTTGTTTGTGAACTTTTTGATGATGGCCATTCTGACTGGTATGAGGTGATACCTCACTGCAGTTTTGATTTGCATTTCTCTGATAATTAGTGATATTGAGCATTTTTTTCATGTGCCTATTGGCCATTTGTATGTCTTCATTGGAGAATTGCTTGTTTAGGTCTTTTGCCCATTTTTGCATTGGGTTTTTTTGTTACTAAGTTGTATGAGCCATTTATATGTGCTGGAAATTAAACCTCTGTCGATTGCATCATTTGTAAATATTTTCCCCCATTCCGTAGGTTGTCTTTTTGTTTTGTTTATGATTTCCTTTGTGGTGCAAAAGCTTATAAGTTTAATTAGGTCCCATTTGTTTATTTTTGCTCTTATTTCTATTACCTGGGTAGACTGCCCTAGGAGAACATTGCTAAAATTTATGTCAGAAAATGTTTTGGCATGTATATATCTTAACAAGATATTTAGTTTATTTACTGTTTTCTTCTCACCAGATCCAATCAGCATAGTATCATCCATGTTGTGGGCTTGCTTGATGTCCTGTAGAGAAGCAAACAAGTCCTCAGTGAACTAGGCTATAGAAGATAGCTGAAGAGTTAGTAGAGCCCTAAGAAGGGACACTAAAGTATATTACTGTTTCTGGTGGCTTTACTAACAAGCACACAGAAAAAGTATTTTTGACATCAGTAACTCAAACTGGAGAAAAGAGACAGCGTTGATTTGCTTCAATGAAGCAAAGGCGTCTAGAAATACATTTGAAATTGTAGTTATCACCTAATTAAGTTTATAATAATGTATTCCAGATACTGAGGATCCATCTGCCTTATCCACAGGCCAAATAGGTGAACTGAATGGGGATATACTAGGATCCTTTCAGTTTTTGATGGTGACAAAAACCTTGGCAGTCTCTTCAGGATGTGCTGTTGCATTTGTTTCAATACTTTGGTAGGGAGTGTAAGTTCTAAAGATCTCCATTTAATATTTCCTATTTAATCAACCTCATTCTATAGGTCAGGGAACCACTGTGGGTATCCTCCTAGTTGCTGGATATGTCTCATCCAACTGTGTTTTTCAGAATTGAGGAAATAAACATGGGGTAATTTTGGGCATACTGTTGGACTCACTGAAAAGTTATAGCAGGGTCCCTACTCAAGGGGATCCATCCTCAACTTCTATAGGAGGCTCTAGGTCTGTAAACAGGTTCAAGTCTGGAAATCTGTTGAGGATCCATGACTCCCTATTAAGGTAATTCGAGAAAGATTTAACTTGACCAGACCTTGAACTTTCCTACTTACACAGATCGAGTACGACATTATCAGGCTTACCACTTACTTCAGTCCTAGAAATACAATGATTGGTTAGTCAATGCCAGAGACCTCTGCAGGTCAAAAAATTCTAGCTATTGCTTCAGCTCTATGTTGTTGTCTATGTTATTTTTCAATAGTGGGCATGTATCCAGGCCCATCCAAAGGTGCCTGAAAAAAGTGTGTGTTTTGTGTTGTTTAGTGGAGTGTTCTATATATGTCAATTAGATACTGTTGGTTGGTTGTATTGTCCACTTCTTTTTTATCCTTCCTGTTTTTTGTCTAGTAGTTATATGAATTGCTGAGAGTGGGTGTTAAAGTTGCCAACTGTAATTGTGGGTTTTTTTCTCACTGTTTTAGCAAAACATATACACACACACCACATGTAGAAAATATTCCTGTTACTAAATTAATAATCAGGAATAGTATGATTTGGTGACTGATGAAATTCTGGTATTTTGTAATTTTCTTTCAGAT